TGGATGGGGGGAGGAAGAGAAACCTCTAAAGGTCTTTAGTTTTTTCTCTTCCCTTATTTCCTTCGGCGGAAAAGGAACTCGCCCGTTCTCGTCGTCGTCTTAGTCGTCGTCGCGGCGGAGACTCTTATTGTGGCGGGCTCGATATTTTTTGGGGGGGTCATTCTCCCAATTTTTTTGGGGTCCTTCTCCCAGTGAATAATCCATCAATTATTGGCTAAGTGCCCTACACGCGAGAGGATTTGTATGCAACTTCTCACGAGGATAGCAATAGGAATGTGCGTCGCTTTGATTCGCGAAATTCGTAGCCGCTTTCGTAGTCGTAGCCGTAGTCGTGGCCGCTAACTACTAGCACTCGTAGTTGAAGCCGCAACCGTAGTCGCATCTCGGTCGTACTCGCAATCGTAGTCGCAGTCGTCGTCGTTATTACGCGGTCCTTGCCGCGGAGAAAACATTTGTTCCACGACTGGTGGGATGCCAGTCCATCAAGAAGGGCGTCGAAACGATTTGATGCTCCATTCTTGCGGGGTGTCCCAAGATCTCGAGAGGGTAGTAGCAGGATTGTCGAGAGGCGCGCGATGGATTTCGGGATTCTGAGCTCCTGGGGTCTGCGGGCGGTCTCCTTGGATAGATGTTCCTCTCCCTCCTCCCCCCCATAGGAGCGGGGTGGATGTGAGAGGGGAGGGAACGCGAGAGAAAGAGAGAGAGAACAAGAAACGCACACGACGATCGGAGCTGGTGTCCACTCCACTTGGCATCGCTCGGACGTGTGCAGTTTTCCTTGGGCGAGGGCCATCGAGGAGCATCCTGGATCATTTGGCGAAAAAACCACGCACGAAACCGAAAAAAACACAGGGAATGGACGTCCGAGCGATGGCCAGCCCAGGGCCGCCCGGAAACTGGCGCGGCGCGCGCCCGGCGCTGCCGGAGGGGCCAGCGCCGGCGCACAGCCAGAGAGCTCGGGGGCGGGGGGGCGCCCGCGGGACGCGGCCGCGCGCTGCAGTCACGAGCGGCACGACCTGCAAGAGAGGAGGGCTGCCGCGCGGAAAAGCCCCCTGGCATCGCTCGGACGTGTGCATTTTTTTCTCGGCGAGGACCATCGAGGAACATCCTGGATCATGTGGCGAAGAATCCACGCACGAAACCGAGAAAAGCACAGGGAATGCACGTCCGAGCGATGCCCAGAGCCGCAGCTTGGGGGGCGGCGCTGGGAGAGCGCGGCACCCTTTCGTGGGACAGGCGGACAGACGACAGACAGACAGGGAGGGGGGGGGGGGAGGAGGGAGGAGGGAGGGGGGGAGGGAGGACGGAGGGAGGGAGGGGGGGAGGGAGGACGGAGGGAGGGAGGGGGGGAGGGAGGGAGAGAGGGGCTATTCAGTAGGCTTTGGAAGGGGGACGGTCGGGACGGAGTTTCAAAGCGGTCTGGAGAGAGGGGGGGAGGAGGAGGTTTTATATCCAGCGGGATGAAATGATCGAGCAATATTGGGTGTGTTTCGAGGGAGGAAGTTGGGAAAAGAGGATTGGCGGTTGCGGGAAAGGGTGGTTGGTAAGGGGCGGGAGGGAAGTGGGAATAGTGCGACAGGAAAGTGGAGGGATGTGTGATGGATTTGATTCGGAAGCGTCAGTTGTGGTTCGTAAGGGCGCCCGTGGGCAAGGGCTGGAGGGGCCGCAAGGATTCCGATCGTTTCAGCGAGTTGGCTCGCCGTTTACAGAACGGTGTAAACCAAAAACACACGTGGGCAACAGTTGGCCGCAACGATTCCGATCGTTTCAGCGCGTTGACTCGCCGTTTACAGAACGGTGTAAAAACCAGATTGCTTGGAACGTGGGTCGGGCAATAGGTTGTACGAGAGGGCGCCAAGTATGAGAATTGCGCCCAGTGCCTAGGCAATTATCCCAGCGCAGGCCATTTGAAATGTACGTTGTTCTTGCTTAGTAGATCACGCAGTTGTTCAGTCGTCATCCCCCCTCATGGATGATGATGATGATGATGATGATGATGATGATGATGATGATGATGATGATGATGATGATGATGATGATGATGATGATGATGATGATGGCTGATGCTGATGCTGATGATGCTGATGATGATGATGCTAATCATGATGATGATGATGATGCTGATGATGATGATGATGATGATGATGATGATGATGATGATGATGATGATGATGATGATGATGATGATGATGATGATGATGATGATGATGATGATGATGATGATGATGATTATGACGATGACGATGACGATGACGATGACGATGACGATGACGATGACGATGACGATGACGATGACGATGATGACGATGCTGGTGGTGGTGATGATGCTGATGATGATGATGATGCTGATGATGCTGATGCTGATGCTGATGCTGAGCTGATGCTGATGCTGATGCTGATGCTTATGCTGGAGGCGGAGGAGGAGGCGGAGGAGGAGGAGGAGGAGGAGGAGGAGAGAGGAGGAGGAGGAGGAGGGAGGAGGGAGCAGGGAGGGAGGGAGAGAGGCAGGAGGAGGAGGAGGAGGAGAAGGAGGAGGAGGAGGTTGAGGAGGAGGGAGGAGGAGGAGGAGGAGGAGGAGAAGACGGAGGAGGAGGACGAGGAGAACGAGGAGGAGGAGGAGAAGGAGGAGGAGGAGGAGGAGGAGGAGGAGGAAGGGGAGGAGAAGGAGGAGGAGGAGGAAGTGGAAGAGAACACGGAGGAAGAGGAGGAGGAGGATGTGGAGGAGGTGGGGCGTCCAGTCCCGCCTCCTTGGAATACGTCGCACAGGAGGAACGGCCTCCACTGGCCACCTGAGGCACGCCGCGGCCGCCACCTCGCGGGGAGGTCCGGGGGCCGGCTCACCAGTGGCTTACCTGGGGGAGGAGGCGGCACCAGCCGTCGGCCGTCCTGGCAATGGCCAGGTCGATGCCATCTCACCTCACTGCACTTCTCTTTGCACCTGGAGTCCAGCATTCTGCCAAGACCGCGCCCTTCTGCAGCAATTGTGGGCGGGGGGGGGGGGGGGCCGGTTGGTTCGGGCAGCGGAACGAGGTAACGAAACCTACACAAGCACGGCCACCGCCACGGAAGGCGTAACCCGCCCTCAGTCTTGGTGGACCCTCCCCCGGCGGCCACCAGCCCTTCCCTCGGGAACCCTTCGCGTGCCTCGGCAGGTGTGAGGACCCGTCGTGAGACTGAGGGCCGTTTTGTGCGGTCTCCTGTGGATCGGGGGAGAAGCCCTTGGGCCTTTCCGTCCTTCGGCAAGTGTGGCCGTGGCCACACTCTGCGCACTTTACCGCCAGCAGCAACACCACTTGCCACTGTCACCCCCCCCCCTCCCTTCCTCCTCCCTCTGTTCAAGGAGGCCTCCTGTCCTGTCTCTCTCTCTCTCTCTTTCACTCTCCCCTCCCCAGGGCGCTGGGGGACCTGGTGTTCCCGCCACTAGGGGTCTGTCGGTCTGTTTGTCCGCGCTTATTTTACACGTCGAGGTTTGATCAGCCCCCCTTAGGTGCAACGGCCCCTGGGGGGGCAGCGTCGGTGCGACTGTCATGCCATGATTAGCGGATCCACAGGAGGAGGAGGAGGAGGAGGAGGAGGAGGAGGAGGAGGAGGAGGAGGAGGAGGAGGAGGGGGGGAACAGGAAGGAGGAGGAGGAGGAGGAGGAGGAGGCGGAAGGGGGGAGGAGGAGGGAGGGAGGGGAGAAGGAAGGAAGGGGCACGATGATGACGATGATGATGATGATGATGATGATGATGATGATGATGATGATGATGATGATGATGCTGATGGATGGTGATGGTGATGGTGATGGTGTGGTGATGATGATGCTGATGCTGATGCTGATGCGATGCTGATGCTGATGCTGATGCTGATGCTGATGCTGATGCTGATGCTGATGCTGATGCTGATGCTGATGATGCTGATGCTGATGCTGATGCTGGTGATGGTGATGGTGATGGTGATGGTGATGGTGATGGTGATGATGCTGCTGATGCTGCTGATGCTGATGCTGATGCTGATGCTGATGCTGATGCTGATGATGCTGATGATGATGATGCTGATGATGCTGATGCTGATGCTGATGCTGATGATGATGCTCATGATGATGGTGACGATGATGACGGTGGTGGTGATGATGATGACGATGACAACGATGACGATGATGATGATGGTGGTTATGGTGATGATGATGGTAGTCATGGTGATGGTGTTGGTGATGGTGATGGAGATGATGATGACGATGATGATGATGGTGGTGATGATGATGACAATGATGATGGTGACGATGATGATGATGTTGATGATGATGGTGATGATGATGTTGATGATGATGACGATGATGATGATGATGATGATGATGATGATGATGATGATGATGATGATGATGATGATGATGATGATGATGATGACGATGATGTGATGATGATGATTATGAGATGATGATGATGATGATGATGATGATGATGATGATGATGATGATGATGATGATGATGTGATGGATGCTGATGCTGATGCTGATGATGCTATGAGATGATGAGGATGAGGATGAGGATGAGGATGATGAGGATGAGGAGGAGGAGGAGGAGGAGGAGGAGGAGGAGGAGGGAGGAGGGAGGAGGAGCGGAGGAGGAGGAGGAGGAGGAGGAGGAGGAGGAGGAGGAGAGAGGAGGAGGAGGAGGAGGAGGAGGAGGAGGAGGAGGAGGAGGAGGAGGAGAGGAGGAGGAGGAGGAGGAGGAGGAGAGGAGGAGGAGGAGGAGGAGGAGGAGAGGAGGAGGAGGAGGAGAGGAGGAGGAGGAGGAGGAGGAGGAGGAGGAGGAGGAGGAGGAGGAGGAGGAAGGAGGAGGAGGAGGAGGAGGAGAGGAGGAGGAGGAGGAGGAGTGAAAGGGGAGGGAGGGGCAGGCGGAGGAGGACGAGGAGAGGGGCAGGATGGGGAGGGAACGCAGGACGAGCAACCAAGGGCGAGGCAGCTGCTCCGATGAGAGGGCAAGGGCCCTGCCGAATGGGCGCCGGCCGCCGGGGAGATCGACCCAGACAACCTCCTCGAGCACGTGCCCACCAACCCGTTGAAGCCGGCACAGCTGGTGCTGCACCGCATGTCGTTCATGGGTGCGCGCGTTCTCCGTGCTTTTGAGGGGGCAGGAGTGTCGGCAGAAGGAAAGGGAACGATCAGGACGAGGACGAGGGCGAAGACGAGGAGTCGGATCTGATTGAGGAAGGTGGGCGGTGTGTATACATAGAAACATACATACATATATAATATGTGAGGTTTGTGCATCCACACACAGATGGCCTTCGGCCCCTCCCGCCAGCGCGCCTCGGTTGTAGGTCGGAGGCCCTTGGGACGATTCGGGGGATCACCTGGGAGGCCTCGCGGAAGCCTCTCGAATTCGGTTTTGGAGTGTCCCAGCGGGCTTCTCGGGGGTCTCGTGGGGGGGGGGGCCTCTTGGGGCCTGAGTTGGGCTTGCTGGGGGCCTCTTGGAGCTTGTGGGGTGCCTCTTGGGGGCCCGCTGGCGGTCTCGGGGGGGCACCTTGAGGCGAAGGGCCCGAATTGTCAGTTCGTGTTCCCCATCTGGGGCCTCTCTCGCGCCCCTCTTGGAGCCCTACCGGGCCACCTTGGGGGTCTCTTGGGCCGTCTTGGGGCCATCTTGGGCCGTCTGGGGGTCGTTCCTGGGGGGCCTCTTGTGCAGTCGTGGGGTGACCGTGTGGCCTCTTGGGCAGTCTTGGAGCGCCGGAGGCCCGAGAAGGAAAGAACGCGAACACCTTTCCAAATGCGACAGACCACAACGGATTGTGCCATCTCGGGGCCCTTTTGAGGGGCCTCGGAGCCTTCTTGGGGCGTCTTGGGGGCCTCATGGGCCGTCTTCATTGGGCGTCTTGGAGAGTTGTGGGGCGTTCTTGGGTGCCTCTTGGGCACTTCTTGGGGCCCTCTTGGGCCGCCTTGGGGCCTCTAGCCTTTGGAGAAGTCACGCGAGGAAGCCCGAGAACGCGTGGGAGCTCGCGAGAGCGCGCGGGGCCGATTTGAGACAGCGGGTACCTTGCTCCCAGTTCAAATTTTTCAATACTGAATATGGAGTAACAACAATTCTGGAAGTTTGAGGAACGCCGCTTCGTGCCTCGAGGCACGGGTGCGGATAAATGTTTCTACATCACACACATTTGTTTACAGAATTACATATATACATGTATAGATGTTTCTGTGTATGTACAGACATGTGTCTATCTATAGAGAGCGGATCAAGAACAACAAAACACATACACAAACACTATTGTTATAAGCTAGCGTGCGGTCCAACAGGCAGACTGCGAGAAAGAGAAAGACAGCGAGAGAGAGTGTGTGTGTGTATGTGTAATTTAAACACAAACAACAGACCAGCAGACAGAGGCGGAGAAACAGAGAAAGAGAGAGAGAGAGGAAAAGAAAAACAGAGAGAGAGAGAGAGACCGTGGGCAGCCAGGCTGTCTGACAGACAGGCAGGCACAGAACACACGGCAAGGGCCAGCGAACGATGCTTCGTGTGGTGTTGCGTCGGCTGGTGCATGGATGCAGAAAAACAGGCGCCCGCCAACATCCAAGCTTGACAGGACAAAGATTGCGGGAGGAGCTGGCGGACGAGGAGAAGCACCAGGGATGAGGCCAATCCAATAGACATGTGGCGTCTGTGATCTCCGTGCCGCCGCAAGACCTGGGCTTCCTTAGTTCCCTCCTGAACTGCTGCCACGGGTGATTGGCTTTAGCTTGCACGAGAGAGATGATGAGAAGCGCTCACCACACCTGATAATTGTTGTGCATGTTCTCTCTCTCCCTCTCTCCCCCTTTCTCTTTCTGTCTCTCTCTCTCTCTCTCCCTCTGTCTCTGTCTCTGTCTCTCTCTCTCTCTCTCTCTTTCACTCTCTGTCTGCACATAAACACACATGTATATACATATGTATGTATGTATGTATGTATGTATGCATGTTTGTATGTAGGTAGGTAGGTAGGTAGGTAGGTAGGTAGATAGATAGGTAGGTAGGTAGGTAGGTAGGTAGGTAGGTATATATGTACATATATATATATATGTGTGTATGTGTCTATGTATGTATGTGTGTGCGCATGTCTCCCCCTCCCAGGCCGTGTTTTTTTTCCCATGCCCCATTTCTTTCGATGCCTGACCTCCCAGGAGCTTCTGGGGGCCCACAAAAGGCGGATCAGGCGAGGGGGCAGGCCTTCTTGAGAAAGCCCCCCCAACTCGGGTTCTCGGAAGGGGCGACGAACGATTTCGAGGGGGGGGCGATCCCTTCGAAGACGTACCGCCCCCGCCCGGAAGACTGCCCCCCCCCCCCCCCCTCCCTTCAAAAGACCAGCCCCGGAGCTCCGCAGGGGCGCGTCTCGGTAAGACGTTCGAGGGGTGAGGTCGGCCGTGGTGCCAGCGAGGCACGGAGCAGCCTTGGCCTGTGCACGGGGGGGGACTGCGGTGCCCACGGGCGCGCTTGGTGTGCCGGTGGCCCGGGCCCACCCTGGCGGCTGCACGCCGCGGCCGCCGAGGCCGTTTCCCCCCTCCCCGTCTGGGGTAGCACGCGTTACAGTCGGCCCGGATTGGTAGGTCGACCCTGCCAGCTTAAGGGTACCTTTGTGTCCTGTGCCTCGCGACACGTGCCTTCTTACACTCCAGTGGCGATGTGTCCCTCGGCAGGGTCTTGTGTCCTCTCGCGTGTCCTGTCCAATCAAGGCCGACTGTGCAGCCGGGCCGCTGGAGAAGGAGCCCTTCTCGTTGGGGAGGGCCCGGTGTTCCTTTTCTGTTCTGCAGTCTGTCTCGGGTGCTCCTGCGGTCTTCTTGTGGGAACTCGAAGCTTCGCTTAGGGAAAAGAGGGGGAGGGGCCTCGCTCCTGCCGCGGGGCTCCTCAGGACTGCGCTCCGACTGCACCCCCAAAGGAAGAAAACGAACGATCTCCAGAGAGGCCGCAGACGGGCGCCAGGCGTCGACCCGCGGCCCTGCTCCGCCGAGGCCCTGCGCGCTGCCCCCCCGCCCTGCCCGCGAGCCCGCCCGCCCGCAGGCACGGACTGGCTGGCCGTGCGCCTGCGCCAGGGCTCGGGCGAGCCGTGCCTGCAGTTCTGCAGCCTGGCCGTCACGCTCTGGAGCCTCTCTCTCGGGCGGGCAGGGCGCTCGGGGAGGCCTCCGTCCGCCCCGCTCCTCCCTCTCTCCTCCTCGCTCTGTCCTCCTCCGTCCTCCTCCTCCTCCTCCCGCCTCCCCATCCCTCCTCGTTCCCGGGCCTCTCCGGTCGGCTCGAGCAGACCGTGCCGTCTATCGGGTCGAAGTCGGGCCGTCAGCACAGATCGTGCGTGCGCGCGTGTGCAGCCCAGTGTTACGGTGTTGCTTGGGGAGATTGGAGGAGAAGGGGGAGGAGGAGGAGGGGGAGGGGGAGGAGGAGGAGGAGGAGGAGGAGGAGGAGGAGGAGGAGGAGGACGAGGAGGAGGACGAGGAGGAGGTGGACGTGAAATTCGAGTTCGATGAGGGCGAGGACGAGGAGAAAAACGGGGAGTTGGAAGGACGAAGAGGAAGGTGTGGAGGATTACGAGGAGTGGCGACGCCTGCGACGAGGAGGAGCAAGGTGTGGAGGACAACGGAGAAGGAGGACGAGGAGGAGGAGTGTCTGATTTTTGGAGGCTTGGATCTGTTCTGGGCGTCTTGGGGGCGTCGTCGAGCTTCTGGACGCCGTCCTGAGGCCAGGAGGCTTCAGCCCCGCTGGCGCAGCCCTGCCGGCCAGGAACCTCGGCCGGAGCTCTTCGAGGAGCGTGGTCGTCAAGGCACCGCGCGGGGCTGACGCCGCCCCCCCCCCCTCCTGCCCGCCCCCTCCTCCTCGCCCTCTTCCTCCTTCTCCCCCTCCTCGTCCTCCTCCTCGCCCTCCTCCTTCTCCTCGCCCTCCTCGTCCTCCTCCTCGTCCTCCTCCTCGCCCTCCTCGTCCTCCTCCTCGTCTCCTCGCCCTTCCTCCTTCTCCTCGCCCTCCTCCTCCTCGTCCTCCTGTGATTTTGCAGTGCGGCAGGTGGCTCCCACTCAGAGTCCAGCCATCTTCTGCGGGCATGCGTGCAGCAGTGCCGGCATGGCAGGGATTCCATGAGCAGGTCTCGGTCTTGATCTCCTCCTCCTCGTGCTCCTCCTCCTCCTCCTCCTCCTCCTCCTCATCCTCATCCTCCTCATCATCATCATCATCATCATCATCATCATCATCATCATCATCATCATCATCATCATCCTCGGCCTCCTCACTCTTCTACCCCCTGCCTCGCCCGCCCCATCCTCCCCCTCCTCATCCTCCCCCTTCATCTGTTGATGAGGCGTCGGCGCTGCATCATCTGCGATGGAGCTGTCATGTTTTGTAGGGGAGATCAGCATTGCGGTGCTGACGGCCAGCACATGTGGACCGAGCTCGTCAATGGTTCCCCTCGGATTTGCCTTCGCATTCGGCACCGCTGCCTGCATATCTTCCCTGGGAGGAAGGCCAGCTAATCCTTGTCGTTGCCCATCCGCCCACTGGAGGGTAACAGAAGAGGGGGTGGTCGGACGGGGCCCGGACGCTCGGACGAGGACCAATCCGTCACGGAGCGTTCTAAAATTCTACGACCCTCTCAGAGCGTTCCCGAACGCCCTGAGGAGGCCGCGGCGCCCAAGACAGCCTCCAATTCCGCCGAATCCCAGAGACTCCTGACTTATCTTCATCCGATGTTATCCTCGTCCTGGCTTCGCCTTGCGTGGAGGAGGAGAAAATTAACGGGCGAGGAACGGCACAACATAAACTTGTTCGCCGTCGGGGACACCTGCCCCTGGGCGGCTGGAAAGTTTATACCCTTACGGTGGCACCGTAGGGGTATAAACTCGCTCGCTGGGGTATTTTATTCCGTTCTTCGCTCGCCGAGAAAAAGGAGAAGGCGGGACCATATCCAGCGCCCCGCCCGGCCCGCCTGTCAGGGCCACGGCATGCCCGACCCGTCCTGCGGGGTCCCACCCGTCGTCGTGGCCGCCGTCGTCGTCGTCGTCGCCGTCGCCGTCGTCGTCGTGTTCGCCGTCGTCGTCGTCGCCGTCGTCGTCGTCGTTGTCGTCGTCGTAGTCGTCGTCGCCGTCGTCGTCGCCGCCGTCGTCGTCGTCGTCGTCGTCGCCGTCGTCGTCGTTTTCGTCGTCGTTGTCGTCGATGTGCGCCAGCACCTGGCAATTTTCTGCAGGGGCGGGACAGTAGTACTCATGCTGTGCACTTTCGAGGGAGGGGCGGAGGAAGAAGGGAGGGAAGGAGGAAGGGAGGGAAGGGGGACGGGATGATGATGATCTTGATGATGACGGTGATGATGATGGTGATGACGATGACGATGACGATGATGTTGATGATGATGAGGAGGAGGAGGATGAGGATGAGGATGATGATGATGGTGATGATGATGACGATGATAATGATGATGATGACGATGGTGATGAAGCTGATGATGATGATGATGATGATGATGATGATGATGATGATGATGATGATGATGCAGCTGATTATGGAAATGAACATGATGATGCTGATGATGGTCATGCTGATAGTCATGCTGATGGTCATGATGATGATACTGATGATGATGATAATGATGATGATGATGGTGATGGTGGTGATGATGATGATTATGACGATGATGATGATGATGATGATGATGATGATGATGATGATGCTGATGCTGATGCTGCTGATGATGCTGATGCTGATGATGATGATGTGATGATGATGATGATGATGATGATGATGATGATGATGATGATGATGATGATGTGGTGGTGATGGTGATGATGATGATGGTGATGATGATGAGGAGGAGGAGGAGGAGGAGGAGGAGAGGAGGTGAGGTGGAGGTGGAGGTGGAGTGGAGGTGGAGGTGGAGGTGGAGGTGAGGGTGGAGGTGGAGGTGAGGTGGAGGTGGAGGGAGGTGGAGGTGGAGGTGGAGGTGGAGGGGGAGGTGGAGGTGGAGGTGGAGGGAGGTGGAGGTGGAGGAGGAGGAGGAGGAGGAGGAGGAGGTGGAGGAGGAGGAGGAGGAGGAGGAGGAGGAGGAGGAGGAGGAGGGAGGACGAGGACGAGGACGAGGACGAGGAGGGGAGGAAGAGGAGGAGAGGGGAGGAGGAGGAGGAGGAGGAGGAGGAGGAGGAGGAGGAGTTGGAAGAAGAGGGAAAAGCATGGAGGTAGGAGGAGGAGGAGGAGGAGGAGGAGGAGTAGGAGCAGGAGGACGAGGATGAGGAGGAGAAGGAGGAGGACGAGGACGAGGAAAAGGCGAGGACGAGGACAGGGTGCAGGAAAAGGTGGAGGAAAAGGTGGAGGAAAAGGAGGAAAAGGAGGAAAAGCAGGAGGAGAGGAGGAGGAGGAGGAGGAAAAGGAGGGGGAGGAGGAAGGGGGGGCGATGAAGGAGGAGGGGGCGAGGAGGAGGAGGGAGGAGGAGGAGGAGGAGGAGGAGGAGGAGGAGGAGGAGGGAGGACGGGGCGAGGAAGGAGCAGCAGGAAAAGGAGGCGGAGGGGGGGAAGGAAGAGGAGGAGGAGGGCAGGGGAGGCGGAGGAGGAGGAGGAAGCGAAAGAGGAGGAGGAGGAGGAGGAGGAGGAGGAGGACCAGTATTAACCCAAGAGTCACCAACGATGTTGGAATAAACCCATCCTCCAAGCTCCCTCTTCACAGGCCGCTACAACGGATCATTTCAACAGAAGGAACTGCCTCGTTGGAAGACAACCGTTTGAAGACCCTGAAGCCTGAAGCATGCCAGAACACTGTTCTCGGGATTCCAACGCCACGGATCATTGTGATTGTTGCGCCTTGACGACCCGGAATCGTTCCAGAACGCCATGTTTGGGTTTTCGACGCCGTGAACAAACGTAATTGTTGCATTATCATAATCTTGAATCTGTCCCAAACACAGTGTCTGGTACGCTCATCATGGGAATATGTGAAATTCTTGCAAACTTTCAATGCGCGCAGCGCAAAGGCGAGATCAACATTTTGAAAAGGAACCGCCCTCAATCCGTGAAACGAGTGCGAGTGTTTAAAACGAATGTGCGCGGCGAAAAGGCGAGAGCCACATTTTGAAAAGGAACCGCCCTCAATCCGTCAAGCTCTTGCACATGTTTAGAAGGAATGAGCGCGGCGCTAAGGCGAGAGCCACATTTTGAAAACGACCCGCCCTCAATCCGTGAAGTCCTTACAAATGTTTGAAGCGATTGCGCGCGGCGCTAAGGCGAGAACCACATTTTGAAAACGGGTCGCCCTCAATCCGCGAAAACTCTTGCAAGTGTTAAAAACGAATGTGCGCGGCGCTAAGGCGAAAGCCACATTTTGCAAACGAGCCGCCCTCCATCTATGAAACTATTGCTACTTTATAAGCCCAGGGGCATGAATGATACGGAAGTCTCAGGCGAAACGCCCGGTCCGCCCTAAAAACTGGTTTCATGGGGAAGGAGGAGGAGGAGGAGGAGGAGGAGGAGGAGGAGGAGCAGGAGCAGGAGGAGGAGGAGGAGGAGAAGCAGGAGAAGCAGGAGGAGGAGGAGGAGGGAAAAGCATGGAGGAGGAGGAGGAGAAGCAGGAGAAGCAGGAGAGGGAGGAGGAGGGAAAAGCATGGAGGAGGAGGAGAAGCAGGAGAAGCAGGAGGAGGAGGAGGAGGAGGAGGAGCAGCAGGCGGCGGCGGCGGCGGAGGCGGAGGCGGCCGTGGCAGGCCTGCGACGGGCGGGCCGACATGCCGTGCTTCGCCTGCGCGCCCACCGTGGCGAGCTCCCTCTCGTGGCTGGAGCTCGCGGAGGAGAGCCGGGCACCGTCGACGACGACGACGACGACGACGACGACGACGACGACGACGGCGACGGCGGCGGCGGCGGCGGCGGCGGCGGCGACGACGGCGGCGGCGGCGGCGGCGGCGGCGGCGACGGCGACGGCGACGGCGACGGCCACGGCGGCCACACTTGTGAGCCTCCCGGATGGGTCGGACGGTGGCGCCGCATCGCTGAGGCAGCAGCGATGCGACTCGATGCAGGGCCCGACTTTCCTCACGCCGACGGCACCGGTGCATCGACGGCGTCGCCGATGCAATGGCGATGCGGCGTCATCTTCCGACCCCATCAGCTAAGGACCCCATCCAGGAGGCCTCTATACATGAGAGGGACCCTTCCTGGTGCGCAGTTGAAACCGGAAGTCCGCTCGAAACCGGAAAACGGGACCAGCCAGACCAGAAAGGCGAGAACCCTCGAACCCGCAAGAACGAGCCCACAAGCAGAAAAGTCGAGGGATTTTGAACCGGGAAATTTTTAGCCCCGCCCACCAAGAGACTGGCTTCCCAAATGGGATCTTCCAGGGACCCTTAACCCAGAAGCGTAGAGATCAAAATCGGAAATCTAGGTTAGAGGTGTTTTTGCCGCCGTCGCGAATGGCTCTGCGTATGGAAGGTCTGGCGGCGAGCGAGGGCGGGGGAAGTGAGAAGGAGCACGCCCTCTCAGAAGGCGGCGGGGCTTCTCAGCAGCCCTCGCGCCTTGCAGAGGCTTTCCGTGTCTTTGGCCCTGGAACATTTCGCAGAAGGCCGGGGGATGTCCGAGCCTTCTGAGAAGGACTGCCCCTCCTCGCGTCCCCCTCCGGGCTCGCCGCCAAGAGACGAGGGGGGGGTGGGTCGCGGCCGCATCATGGGCAGCCCTCCATCCGTGCAGCTGACGGGCATGTCTAGGTTCGCGGTCGTTCGATCGGAGTCATGCCAGGGGTTGGCATTGAAAACTGCTCTCCGCCATTGCAGCTGTCTGCAGTGTCGAAGTCAGAGTCGCAGGCTGTAGTGAAATTTCACGCGATTGCCAAATTGTGCACAATGAGGTTTGACGTTTTAAGGCCGCTAGGTGTAAGACTGCCCCCGGCGACGGCACGAGTTTGGAAAAGAGCCGCTTTGAATATATAGACATGTTGACAGCTCAAGTTTTAAGGACATAATTGCTCAGGAAGCCCTTGGCGAAAGCCACATTTTGAAAATGAGCCCCCACCAGCCCATCATGTGGAGAGCTCGGGGAGCCTCTGTGGGCCAGAGGTCTCTTGGATGCCTTTCGGAGTCTCTTGAGATGTCTCTTGGGAGCCTCTTGAAGGCCTCTTGGGGTGTGTGTTTGGGGGCCTATTGGCAGCCATCCCTTGGGGCCGATACGTTTCATCTTGGGCCTCTTGGGGGGGCCCTCTTGCAGCGTCTTGGGTGCGTGCGGGGGGCCTCTTCGGGCAGCTTGGAGGCCGCTTGGGTACCACCTAGGGGCCCCCTGGGGCCTAGTGGGCGCCTCTCGGGGCTTTCTCGGGAGCTTTTTGGGCCGTTTCGGGACCAGCATGGGCACGAAAGCTATGACAAAGTAATGAACTGGGCGTTGTCGCTGAGGCCATCTTTGACGCTCTAACTACCCGCCCCCCCCCGTCCAGACCCATTGGGAAGGGGGGAGGGGGGAGGGGGAGAAAGCGACCGGTTGTTACTGTGGCCCGTTGGGTGTTAGTATGGCCCGTTGGGTGTTAGTGTGGCCCGTCGCGCGGCCGGATGGGAGTTACTGTGGCCCGCGCAGGCCGCTCAATGAAAAGTAATATGTAAAGGTGTCTCATGTTAGATCTGGAGAGATTCGCAACCCTTAGGGGAATGCACTCCCGCGCAGGCAAAAGTGGCCACAGTAACTCCAAACTGTAACCAACGTGGTAGTAGTGCTGTGTTAGTGGTGTGGTGGTCGCTGTGTTGTGTTAGTGGTGTGGTGTTGGCAATGTTGTGTTAGTGGTGTGGTGTTGGTAGTGGCTGGTTGTGCTGTATGCTGTGTTAGTGGTGTGGTGTTGGTGGTGGTGTGCTGTGTTAGTGGTGTGGTGTTGGTAGTGTTGTGTTAGTGGTGTGGTGTTGGTAGTGTTGTTGAGTTGTTAGTAGGTAGTAGTGTTGTGGTAGTGGCAGTGGTGCTGTGGTAGTGGTGCTGTGGTAGCGGTGTTGTGGTGTTGTGGTTGTGGTATTGTGGTAGCGGTGTTGTGGTGTTGTGGTAGCGGTGGTGTGGTGTTGTGGCACTGGTATTGTGGTAGTGGTGCTGTAGTGTGGTAGTAGTATGGTGCTGTAGTGTTGGTGTTAGGGAATACCATCCATAGGGGGTACTAGTCCTAAGGAGTACTAGCCGTAGGGAGTGCTAGCCCCAGGGAGTACCAGTCCTAGGAATTACTACCCCTAGGGCGTACTCGTCCAAGGGAGTACTCGTCCTAGCGAGTACTCGCGCTACGGAGTACCAGCCCCAGGGAATACTAGCCCTAGGGAGTGCTAGTCCGAGGGAGTGCTAGGAAGTGCCGGAAGAAGAGGCTCTTCGGAGAGCCCAAGAGGCTCTTCGGAGGCCCCACGAGGCCCTTCGGAGAGCCCAAGAGGCTCTTAGGCGGCTGCAAGAAGGTCTTCGGCGGCTCCTAGAGGCTCTTCGGAGAGCACCAGAGGCTCTTCCGAGAGGCTCTTCGGTGAAGGGGGGGGGGGGGAGCCTTTTTGGCCCCCCCCCCGTTCACCGTATTCGATAATTAATACACTCCGGAGGACCCCTGGCCATACTAACACCCACCGGGCCGCAGTAACAACCAACGGGCCGCAGTAACACCTTATCTCGGGGGAGAAAGGGGGGTGATGAAAGAGAAACGCGTTAAGTCACCTGCGCCCAGAGGGCTGCATTTTCCTTCCTGGTGGAACAGCTTACGACCGATGCGCGCGGTCCCAGGGCGTGAGCCATATCTTTTGACTCAACTGGCCTTCTTCCGTCGAGATGTTGGAAGGTGGTCGGACGCGGCGCTATCGCGAGACATGCATGTCGAAAGCAGGCCGCCCTTCGCGCGCGTGAGGCACGAGATGCGGGGAAGGTTGCCCGGGGATGCGCTCCGAGCGCCCCATTGGCACGTCTGGGTAGTCCGACGAGGAGGAATCATGCCAAGTGGCGCGGGACGGAGGACGAGAGGGAGAAGTGAGGAAGAGGAGGAGGAGGAGGAAGAGGAGGAGGAGGAGGAGGAGGAGGAGGAGGAGTGAGACGATGGGAGTTCGGATGGACAAGGACGAAGCGCACCAGCAACCGTGAGTTTGAGGGGGGGGGGAGCAGCAGCAGGACGAGGAGAAAGGCCCCGACAAGCAGCAGGAGCAGCAGGAGGTGGAGTGGCAGGAGGGGGAGGTGGAGAAGGAGGAGAAGGGACGGTAAGGATCTCAGCGAGCTGGCCGACATCGTCCTCGAGTCCACCCCTGGGCAACGTAAGCGGCTCGCTGCGGAGTTGCGGCGTTGGGCAGAGAGGCCCCGCAAGAAGGCACGGACCCCCGCCGCCCTCATTCCCTTACCACCGATGCCCCCCTCCCCGTCCCCGCCCCGCTCTTCCATGCACCCCCATCACCGATCCAGGTATAAAGAGACAGAGCGAGGAGTGAATAGTATGGATAATCCAGATGCTCGACTTTCTATGTTGCTCCAACTGATTTTCTGCTGCATTGTGGTCCCGGCAAGCCCACGATTGCACGCAACGCCTAGCCTGACGGTTTGCGCGTCACCCTAAACTTGGTTGTGACAAGCTACGCTTGACATTTGGCTTCAGCAGTCAAGAGACACTGAACCCACACCCCCCGAACAAGACACACTCACTCCTTTTTCCCACTTGTATTCCCCATCCACCTGCTGATGTTCATCCTCTTCCTACTCTTTATGATCGTCAATCTTCTGCTTATCCTCGTCCTCGTAGTCCGCCCCCATCTATGACGTTTCCCATTGTCACTTTAACCTAATATCTCTCTCACCCTTGGTTCGATCTGGCAGCGGTTATGGTCGACGCGACAGCAGCGGCGCTCGTCAGTATTGTTGTGCGAGCTGGAGGCTCACGTGAAATGGTGGCGGCATCCTCGGTGGCCTTTTGGCGCGCGGCTCGTGCAGGTGTTTTCCAGCTTGTAGGCGACGGTGTGCCCGAGAGGCGTTGGGTCGGGGGCCAAAAGCATCAGGGGTTTCGAGGGCACCGAAACTCAACGAACATGCATTCCGACAGCGCATTTAGAGCGGTATGAAATTCGAAGTCGTCTTGGGCGCCTCTTGGAAGCCGTCTATGCGATGCCACAACGCTGTTCCACATTGGTCCCAGGGCCCCCTCCCGTGTGTGTGTGTGTGTGTTTGTATGTCATCCACGTCCCTCTGTCCGTAGCCTGTTGTAGCTATGGGTTATTGTTTTACGTCAGATTGGCCATGTTGCACGATCATCCCAGTTCTATTCAGTCCGTGAATTTCAGACAGTAGTGATCGGAGCGACGATCGAGGCAGTTGGGGCGGCAATGGGTATCGATGCTAGACAGGAACAGGAGACAGTGGGGCAACACCACAAGCCGACGGATACACACCACCTCCGGCCTAACGAAACGAAGAGAAACTCCCCAGTCGAGAGACATGGAAGGACATCCCCACCCCCAGCAGGGTCACGGTGGGGTTTTTGACGCACGGAAACGAGAAAACGGACCCGTGGGAGAAAACTCCACTTCCATGGTCGCAGGGAATACGATCGTGGACGCGCGACTGGCATTCCCAGGGCGGGTGGGATTCAAAGAACACGTGGGGCACCGACAAGACTGATGATGATGATGATGATGATGATGATGATGATGATGATGATGATGATGATGAGTGGACAGACACTTGGCAGCTGTGGAGCACCGACAAAACTGAGGACGACGGGTGGAAAACGTACCAAAGGGAACCCCTTGGAACCAGCATCACCACGGAAACTTCGATTACGTTCCCAATCGCGGACTTGGTGTTCCTCCAGCACGGCTTGCGTTTGATCGTTTTCAAATGCACCGCAGCAGCCTCGAGGCATGGACGAAAAGAACCAGCTTCAAGGCGGAAGCCCAATATGGACGGGTGCTGGAGGCCCCCCCGTAGACACGCAGCTTCAGTTCCAGACCATCAGGTCGGAGCTCAACGCCACAGACGACGTGAGGTTTTTCTTCGAGCATCTGGCGCTGCTCAACGGAAAAATTAGGAGACGCCGAGAGAGTCGCCCACGACGGAGCTCTGTTCGATTATATGATGCGAAAGGATGAGTCGCTGACGGACTTCGCGCTATGACGAGACTGCCAGATCCTGGAAGCTGAGAAGCACGAGCGTGAAGGCGCGCCATCTAGAAGAGGGAGCGCGCCTACAGCGGCATCTGCGCAAAACCGGATGAACATGACGTCGCTCGGGCGGAATGGAAGATGGCGCGCCTATCCGGACGGCCGCCCCTAATAGACGTGAAGGATATGTTGTTTTACCCACGAGTCACGCGACGGCGACTTAGAATTACTTGGCCAAGGTCGACGACCTGACGCAGGAAGACTCGAGAGCAAGGCTGGAATAATCGAAGCATCGAGCGAGGACATCGCGGACACATACTTCACGGAGATCGACGACTCGGTCGAGCTGCAGGGCGATGACGTCGGGGCACTGGTGGCGACCTTGGAGAACCAGGGCCTCAGCGAGACCGAGCGCGCGCAGGCGTTCGCTGCGGCGGTCGAGGACGGGCCGGGCAAGGGTCGCCGCGGGGCGCGGCAGGAGGCGCGCCGCATGAGGGCGGCCAAGAAGATATGCGTCCATTTCTTCGACAGGCGACGCGCGGCCAAGCAGGGGCGCTGGTTGCCGCTCATGGGCGACGCCCAGCGGCGCGCGCGATGCGCTAGCCAGTTGCAACGGCCGCGGGCGCTCGGACGAGGCGCGCGCGAACCTGCGCGCCCCCGAGGCAGGCCGCATGGCCAGCGAGAAGGGCGACTAGAGCGCGGGCGAGAAGGGCGGCGGATCGGGGAGCCATTGCTGCTGAAGCATCACGGCCGACGAGGAAGACTTGCACTGCGGCGGGGGAATGGAGCGCCATCGCGCGGATCCTCTCGGGCAGCCCGGATCGGCACAGCCTCTGTCTGAAGCCGCGCGCCGGCCGACGCGGCAGCCGCTCGCGCCCCGATCGGGGGCGACGATTTGGCGATCATGATAGAGGCGCTTTCGGATCCCATGGTGCACGGCGGCAGGCGGCGCGGCCGGCGACGCCGGGGTAGACGACCGCGGGGGCAGTGCCATCGATTGGGGCATTGGCTGCCGCCGCCTTAGCTCGCGCCCGCAAGCCTAGGTCAGACGCCCCGCGAGCCCGGGTTGAGCGCGATGCTCGAGATTTGATATCGGAGGCCTCCCGGGCCAGGCTCCACATTGACGAATTTCATCAGCTAGGAAGGGGGTTCACGCCCGGCAGAAGATGGCGCGGCCAACCGGCGCAATTTTGTCCAGCGGGAATGCGCCGCGGACTCCCGAGGCGTTCCGCAGGGCACGTTCGCGCGGCCGCTCGCCCAGAAGCTCTGAGAGCGGAGCTCCAGGACAATCCCAGATTCGACCAGCTTCAACAGGAGCTGCGCCAGCCAGGTAGGAGAGTCTGGGCCGCGGGCGCGCGGGCCGAGGGCGCCCGTCCACCCGGGGCGGGGCGTTCTAGGGGGATCTGAGGATCCTGAGAGCGGCCGCCAGCCAGGCTCTGGGCCGCTTGCGTTCCCGCCCTCGAGCCCGTTCCCAAGCCCCCGATCCTTCGCCGGAACCGACGGCGGGCCCGTCCGCAGCGCGCGGCGCGTCGCTCGCGTCGCCGCCGAACGGCCCAGGGGGGACTATCCAGGAAACCATTTCGATAGAGGAATCAGATGGCGAGGAAGCCGAGTGCATGAAACGAACGCCGAGTAGATTCCCGCGGGCGACGTCCCCGCCGAGGGCGCCCAGCCTGCGTCGCGGAGACGCGGGGGGGCCGCCGGGCCAGCTCAGCGCGAGCCCCCACCCTCGACGCCCGAGCCGCCCCAAGGCTCCTGGCCGACGCCAGCAGAGGAGACGCTGGGAGTTGGACAAGGCAGAGTTGGGCGCATGGTCGCCGAGCGCGACGGCGCTCGAGACGTTTCATCAGTCGCGGCCGAAGCGGGCCACAGTTCGGCTGCGCAGTCGGGGCAGGGAGCTCGATCGAGGCCCCGAGGCTGGGCCGGAGGCCGAGTCGGAGCGCGGGGGGGCCAGATCTCTTCCCTTGGCCCGGCGTTTGTCTCGCGATTTGGCAGCTTAACAGCCGGCTTTATAAGGCCAACGAAAGGTTGAGGCGAGTCTGGACGGACGATCTTGGCCGTTTTCTTTCAGGGGGATCTGCGCGGGGATGGGGGCCCCAAGCAGCGCGAATTCCTTCGAGGGGAACTGTTGGCCCGAGGCATAACTTACGATGCTCTCTTCTCGTTTTCACAGGGAAAGCGGAAACGCTGCTTTTGCAAATTTCGAGGGCCGAGATTCGACCGTCGGCGCTCAGGGCTGCGTTCTCGGGGGCGGCGGGCACGCCCGCCCAGCTGGCCCCTCGGGGCAGCGCCGAGGCACAGCTGCGCAATTTGTCTTCTGAATAACAGCTCCTGTTCGAGAAGTCGGACGCCAGGGAGTGGCAAGCGACGACAGCGACGGGCGCCGCGAAGGTGGTCGGCGCAGAAGTGTCTCGGCCAACCGGGAGGGGGCGCCCGGATCGGATTCCGTTTTCCAGAATGGTCAGGTTTTGCAAGCCGACGGGGGGGGGGGGGGCGCGAGCAAGCCAGCGGCCAAGAGTCGCTGGCGCGCGCGAGACCACCGCAGTCCCGACGTCGAAACGCCCCAGGTGCATGCCCCGACCCTTCAGTCAGAGTTCATCATGTTTTCGTTGTAAATCGCGGCTTCCCTGTGGCGAGCTCTCATCGCGGACGCCCAGAGCGCTTCCTGCCACAGCGCTCGCCTCGAAAGGCCTCGGGGAGCCATCGCCGTGGAGGCGCGTTCGGGGCTCGTCGTTTCGGGAGATCAGACCCTTGAACTCCCTGCGCCATTCGGCGGACTGAACGATGCCTCCTCCTGCGGCGCCAGACTCTCATCGATTTTTTCACGGGGCTATGTTCCAGGCGACCATTGTTTGAACCCTCCCCTGGCTTCTGAAGTCGAATGGCGGCTAGCTTCGAGCCCTGGCCCCGATCGGAGTAGACGGCCGATTTGTCTCGGGGGGTCCTAAGGTGCTGCCAGATGTCAAGAAACGCTTCCTCCAGCGCTTCAAGTTTGGCAAGCGGGGGGAAGGGGCGGGCGCCCGCGCGAGGGGGGGCGCGCGTCAACGCAAAGGGGGTATTACACGGGTTGACGAGAGAACATATGTTTTGGAGCAGGTTTCCATGACTTCCTTAGACACGTGCGCCCCAGGGGCCCGATCCTGACCAGACTGGGCTGGGCGCGGCAGGCAGTTCGCCTCTCTTGGCGGCCGCCCTCCCGGAGCCGCTGATGATAGATGCGCTCGCGGTCTACAGAGCTGCCCTGCATTCGAAGGCATCGGCGTCTCAGCGCATGGCTTCGAGCCCCCGGGCCCCATACGCGCGACGTTCGTCGCGGCTTCGGGCGCGGGCGGCCCGGGGCCGGCGCGCCAGGGAGTGGGCGGCTGGTGCGTTTGCGTCGCTGACAGCCCAATCCCAATCCGGGAGAGTCGGCGGCCACGAGTCAGTCTCCTGGCGCGGCGACCCCAGCGCCTGAAGCGAGCGGCGGCAAGCGCCGCCGCCGCGGAAACGTTTTCTGTCCAGCGCCGTTGCCAATGCCCAGCGGCAGCGGATTACGTGGGGGGTGGGGGGGGGGCCTTTTTTAAGATGCTTTGGCCCCTGACTGGGCGTCTCCCCCAGGGTGCTTTTCCGACGGCCTCGCCGAGGGCCTGTGATCTTGGATCGGCCGCGCTTTCATTCAGCACTAGAGCACTATAGAAGCCAAGAGCTTGTTCGACGCTTTGTCAATGGGCAGCGCGGGCCCCATCGGTGCGCGCCACAACGCCGCGGAGCTGGCTGTGGCGCGAGACTCTCTCTGCAGCGCGAGCTCGCATGTGCGCCGGCTGCAGCGCGGCGCGACGCCAGCAGACTCCCTCGCTAAGTATGATATAGTATGATCCGTCTCGAGGAAACGCAGCTCTTCGCGACGTTTTGACCCGCGGGGCCATGTGTCTGAAAGATAGGGAGGGGCATTGCGATGGGCAGGCTCTCAATGTTGTTTTGAAATCCAGTTCCGGGAGGCATTTGTTTTTTGCTGGAGCGCACCAAGGCGGCCGAGCCCGTCGAGGAAACTGAGGAACTGGGGGGGGGCGAGGAGAGAGAGGGGGCGAGCGGAGCGGCGGCAGCGGCGGCGGCCCGCGCGCCGCGACCCGCCCGCGCACCCACCTCGACAAGTTCGAGGCCAGCGTTCGGCGCGCTCGAGGGAAGAGATGAAGTGAGGAGGATGGCAAGGAGGAGGAGGCGGACCCCGGGGGCCCCGCGCACCGCGCGTTGGGGTGCCAAGGTATTCGGGGCACGAAATTTGGTTCCGCTGTCCTTCATTGTTCCCGGGAGCCCCTCCCGCGCGTGTCCTCCACGTCCCTCTCTCCGTAGCCTGTTGTGGCTTGTGCGCGCGCCATTGATCTCGCCGCCCCTCTCGCTGTCTACGGTGCGTC